ACTAGTTACTGTGCAGGTATAACACTAGTTACTGTGCAGGTATAACACCAGCTGGGTGTCGATGTATTGATCTCAGTACGGTGGGAGGATTAGCATTTTTGCACAATGGTTAGCAATTCTTCTGACCCATTCCATCATTTCCTCTGCCTCTGCATAGCACCCATTGCCTTCCAGTTTCGTGGCTACATCTACCAGGCAAGAGGTTTACTTCCCACCGACAACAACAGCTCTGCAGGTTAGTATGTTGACAAGGAATGGAGTTCTTTTATTTTGCCGGCAAATGGATGTGCACATGCATAGCAGGGCTGCGCACGTGTGTATTCAATATCTAACCCCATGCTGTACGTGTTCTGGTTTTGCACGGAGGCAGTGCAGGGAACCTTTAACACTGTCTGTGTCCTGGGAGTGTTTGATCAGAACAGTGTACAGGGAGCTTTACTCTGTATCTAACCCCGTTCTGTCCCTGTCCTGGGAGTGTTTGATGGAGACAATGTAGAGGGAGCTCTACTGTGTCTCTAACCCTGTGCTGTACCTGACAGAGGAGCTTTACTTTGTATCTAACCCCATGAGAGTGACAACTGTACTGTCAGGAAGTTGCGGCCGTGGCATTAAAGAGTGAAGTCCAGGATTTGATTCTTGCACAATTTCCCCTGCAGCAACACAGGGTTACGCCTCACGATTCCCAATCCAGTACTGCTCTGGACAGAGATATCGTTGTTACTGCAAGCACTGAAATGGGGGCAGTACGTTATTGATCATTGGACCTTTATCCATGACCTGTGTCGCTGACCTTTCATTGGATTCTTTCTCCTTTTGTTTCAGACCCTTACATTCAAGTGTCACTCCTGCACCAGAGCAAACGCACCGACATTGTCAGAGGGACTCTGAACCCGATCTGGGACCAAACACTGATTTTTGAGGAGGTGGAAATCTATGGCAATCTGAGAGAGGTGGTTGAGTGCCCACCTTTTGTCTCGCTGGAACTCTTTGACAGTAATCGTGCCGTAAGTTACATTGTGGTGTTTTTCTTTTCTGAAACTGAAAATCCTGTCCATGTTTTGATCTAATCTGTGACCCTGCGTTTGTGTTATTTCCCTAGTCCCATTCAGTGGAGCTGAGGGCCAGTCAGTCCCTCCCAGCCAGCTGTAGTTAGCTGGGTCAATATAACACTCTCCAATAACAACAGAGTTAAACCGTGCACCGCACTTGTCTGTTTCCGAAGCAGATTCTCATCACGGCACCTCCCCCTCCACCCCCAACCCTTGTTTCAAGATCATATGCCTACGCAGGTTTTGTTTACTGGTCATTCCTTCCTTAAGAAAGTTGGCATTTAGTAATCTAGTGGTACAGAACTTCAGTTTTGCTGAACAGCACATTATTTTCTCAAAACCCCCGTCTTGCGCTCCTCAGGACAATTCGCAAGAATACCAATTCACGGGTCATCCAACATTTATATAAAATGAGAGTAGAATGCTGATTGGTTGACATTGGACTCTGACTAGCAGAAGCAACGTCATGGAGAATCACCAGTTCATGATGGGTGACAGTTAACTGCCAGGCTTTATTTAAATTCTAAACCAGGTTGGCTCTGAGTGATCAAGGCATTGCCCTGAGAAATTGCTTTGTGAATGGCTGTCACCTATTTTGTTAAATTGAAACAGGCACAGTGTTTGTATATGTTCTTTCTGTCTGTAAAATCAGGGCCCCATGCATTAATATAGCTTCTACTACATGCCAGTGTGCCACGGTGTCTGTAAATGTGTGTCTTTGTCATGGTGGCAGATAAGCTACAGAGTGTAGGAAGCCACTTGGCCCAGAATGTCTGTGCTAGCCCATTGGCAGATAACTTTTTTTATTCTTTGCCCAGTGGTGTTCCAGAGGGATCGGTGGTGGCTCCATTTTTATTTGTCATTCATATAAGTGATTCAGATGAAAATATCGAAAGCATGGTTACTAAGTTTGAGGTTTACACCGACTTTGGTTGTACAGTGGACAGCGAAGATGGTTATCTAAGATTACAAAGAGATCTTGATAAATTGGGTCAATGGGCTGAAGAGTGGCACCTGGAGTTTAATTTGGATAAATGCGAGGTGTTGCGCTTTGGATAAAACAAATAAAGGCAAGACTTACACAATTAAAAGTAGGGCCTTGGGCAGTGTTGTAGAACAGAGACACCTGGGGATTCAGGTACATAATTCTTTGAAGTCTGTATCACATATAGACGGGTGGTTAAGAAGGTGTTTAGCACACTTGCCTTCATTGCTCAGACTTTTTAGTACAGAAGTTGGGATGTCATGTTGAGGTTGTACAGTATGTTAGTGAGGTCTCTTCTGGAGTACCATGTCCAGTTCGTCCTGCTATAGGTAGAATATTATTCAGCTGGAGAGGGTTCAGAAGAAATTTACCAGAATGTTGCTGAGAATGGAGGGTTTGAGTTATGTGGAGAGGATGGATAGGCCAGGACGTTTTTCACTGGAGCACAGGAGGTCGAGGGGTGACCTTATAGAGGTTTATAAAATCATGAGGGGTATAGATAAGGTGAATGGTACGTGTCTTTTCCCTAGGGTGGGGTTTTCAAGACTAGGGGGCACATTTTTAAAGTGAAAGGAGAAAGATTTAAAAAAGACATGAGGGGCAATTTTTTTTTACACAGAGTGTGGTCCACATATGGAATGCAGTTCCAAAGGAAGTGGTGGATGTGGGTACAGTCATAATGGTTAAAAGACATTTGGATAAGTACATGAATAGAAAAGGTTTGGAGGTATATGGGCCAAGCTTTGGCAGGTGGGACTAGTTTAGTTTGGATTTATGGTCAGCATGGACTGGTTGGACCAAAGGGTCTGTTTCCATGATGTATAACTCTCTGATTCTGAGTCATGGGATGCGAGTGTCTAGGTCAGATCAAGGAAGGATGGCAGATTTCCTTCCCTGAATGGCACCAGCAAACCAGATTGGTTTTTACAGCAATCTAACAGTTTGTGATCGTTATTGATGAGATCAGTTAATTTTATTCCAGGATTATTAATTAATTCTGTTTAAATTCTTAGAGCTCCCACAGTGGGATTCGAACTCAATCCTCAAATTGTTGATTTTTCCCACTACGCTCTTTGCCCCTTAACCTCGAGTTAATCCCTCATTTGGTGACTTGCTCACACTGCCCATTCGGAGCATGGAAGTAATCGGT